TATATTGTCTTACTTCACACTATACTTTTTTATATTCAACACATTGCATTTTGGGTGCTCAATTGCCCAAATTTCAGGCTAGTGGTTCTTAACCTACTGGTTCTTTTATGCAAGGGCAAGGCTTTACTGTAATGTCTGTATATCAAATCAATAGACCTTATGCATAATGACGTCTTAAGGCTTGATGGCCAGGAAAATTTCAATAGTGGCCATTTTGGATTGTTTAATTTTCCTGGGCGATTACTAAAGTCCTGGGCAAACTAGGAAACGTTATTGCGGACGAACAGGCGTGGACGAACAGGGTGGACGAACAGGGTGGGCGAATAGGGAAACGTCTGAGGAAACATCGACAATTACAAATGTTTCTGCAACGTTTCCTAGTTTGCCCATAGCTTAAGACCAGCATTCCTGGCAGGCATCAAGCCTTGTCACATCATTATGCATAAGGTCAAATGAGCAGTATGATATCCAAATTGTAACACACAATTGTACACAAATGAAAAATTATTTGACTTTTTTCCATAATGCTCACAATTTCTTTCTTATTATATAGTTTTACAGTTCTGACTGAGTACAATCTTAGTATCAAGTCAATCATTTATAAAAAGAATGGTGTCATATGAAGCTGACATATTAAACAATTGCAATCTTAATCATTTACACAATGAATGGTGTCATATGAAGCTGACGTATTAAACAAAAATGTCAACAAAATAGATTTTGTCTCCCCATCGGCAGATTGTTCTGTTGTTCTGCGGTAGTGTTAGTTTTGAAAGTACCATTAAAATGATAATTGAGGCAAAAACTGACTTACTGGTAGTATTTCTATGTATGAAATTGTTATTAAATTCTGCATATCAAATGATTCATTTAAGTATTAATTATTATCATTTGTTATATATGATACCGGGTGGCCCAAAAAAAAGTACTCCTGTTTGATTCGTAATAACTTCTAAACAAGTAAAGTTTTTAAAAATAAATAACTTGCATTAAATAGAGGAAGGACTAACTTAGATTTTGATATATTACAGTTGTATTTAACTTAAAAATTCACGGATATATTAATGTTAAAAATGGGGAGCATATTTTGGAATGTGTCTAAAATTAGCGAAAATCGGCATATCAAATATTAACTCCAGCGTTTGTTTGCTTAATGACATATTAGGCTAACTTGTATTTCAGCGAATTATCGTTAAGGTTTGTAAGGGATATGGCGTAGATTTAGACATCTTACATGTAAGTCTTAGCTCATTGTTTCCTGAAATATGAACGTTCGAAATTATGCAAGTATTTAATATTAGGTCTTTGCAAACTTAAATGTACATGAAAGACTGACCATGGAAGGCAGGCGCTTAAATTTTTCGTATTCTTAAATAGCCTAATTTTTTTATGTTTTTAATGGTTCAAACAGACTGAGTAGATTATTTCTCGGTTAGAGCAGGATGAATATTCTTTATTGAAGGAAATAATATTGCTTTTTGCAAATACACATCACCGTATCAACGCTACTATTTTGTTACGTTTTGTTCCAAAAATGTTGCATGTCTCTGGGGAGTTGCTTAATTGTTATGTCTTATGGAGTTGTATGGTTTGATTGTGTTTCATATAATTCTCAGTTTACTCCATGAACTTGCCAAGATTAAGAAACGGCAAAAGAGTTTGGGTGTTCTTAACAAGATTTCAGAACGTTGCAGAAGTTAGAAGAGCTTCACAATTCCGTTGTGACAGCATGCCCTAATTCAGAACTACGAACGATCCAATGACGATCCTTCGCGATGCAGTGGTCTCATGAAATAAGGAAACGTATTCGTGCTAGGAACACACGCGAATTTCGGACGAATGAATCTTGCTTGTATTTTGTAGATATAATAATACTTTGTTTCATAATAAACAATTTGTCAAGTGTCATTTATTTACTGGTAATAGTGCATGTTTCAGTCGGGCAAATCTTGATTAATATTTGATACGCCGATTTTTGCATATTTCAGACACATCCAGAAATATCCTCCCGAATTTAAAGATTAATATCTCCGTGAATTTTTAAGTGAAATACAACTGTAATATATCAAAGTCTAAGTTAGTCCTTCCTCTATTTGATGCAAGTTATTTCTCTTTAAAAGCTATACTTGTTTAGATGTTATTACGAATCAAACAGGAGTACTTTTTTTTGGGCCACCCGGTATTGTACAGTATTCAGTGGCAAGCTAGCCATGGCAACTGGTTATGATATGCCAATAAACCTGCATCAATTTGAATAATGCAAATCATTAAAAACTTGCATAGCATGACCTGTAGACTTTCACAAAGTCCTTCATCTTTGTTTAGAACGAAGGAATTTTCAAGGAAGTAATTTCTTGAAGAGTAGGGAATTTGTGGAAGTCAATACAATTGGAATATTTAGCTGAGTTTCGATTTTGTGCAAAGTGTTTTCATATTCAGATTGCACTTTTTCTACCACCTGAACAGGTGTCTTAGGGGTGCTTTTCGTGTTTATGTGATGGAAGGAGGGGGGGAGGCAGCACTTTCCTTGCGATAGTAATTTCTAGTATAGTTACATAATTTAAAACGGCAATGTACGAACAAGACAGCAATATACAAACGGGACTATGTTTTAAATATTAGAACAATTTAGGGAAAAAACGACCATGAATTATTTTAGATTAAAGTTTAGACCTTGGAATCCTAGTGAAAGATACAGGCGTAAAATTGCGCAAGAAACTGTTTTTTGTTGTTAATAACCTCTGGTAATCTAATTAACAAAACTTGCTTTGATTGGCTACTATTTACCGGATATTCAATTATCTCAAAGGGGGCGTATTGAAAAAATATCAATAAAAGTCGCAGGCTCTATATAATAGAGCCTGTGAGCAGGCTATGGTGAAGTCGGTTCAACTGAGTATAAGTACATGATATTTCGGAACTTACATACCAATAAATTGACCATATAAGTAGGACATATGCAGTGATATACTCTAACGCGCATATCAAACATAGACAAGCATTTCAAATTTAGATCATTTTTAGGTCTGAATTGATATAAACATAATTAAAATACTCATTAATAATTCATAAACAATGTGGCAAATCATGTCAGCCATAATATGTCACGTGGAGTGACTTTATATCTGATAAAACACATGTGGCATTATATAATTGTTCATCTTAATTAGCATGATTATACTACGGTTCATCCTAATTAGTATTCTTTTGTAGTCGTATTTTAAGCTATTCAAAACACTCGTTGTCGTGTTTTAAATAGTACATATAAAGTCCAAATAAACGCATGGGGGGATATACTATATAATAAAATGCAAATACTGCTATATCAAGAAATGTGATACATCAGGCCAGATCTCCCACAGCGGTCTGTAGTGTTGGCCTTTGCGAGATTCCATATACAACAACAAACGACGTTAGCATCCTTTTACTGACTCAGAAACTCAAGGAATATGCTGCGCAATCGTTTATCTTTGGTTTAGGCATGTGCTAATTATACGTCCAGTTGAGCGAGAATTCTTTAAAACCAGGCAATATACGAACGACCAAATGCGCAGATAGCGCCTGTGTTTACACGCAGACTTGGTTGAAGAAATACGCATTTTGCCCCCAGATATTTAGGACAAAAACCGGAAGTTGGACAAACGTTGGAAAACGGGCTTTATTCATCATGCGTACGTACCTTCGCTGTACACGTCATGCAGCTAAGTACGAACACTTGGACGCAGCGCTGTTGACGTCATTTGGCGGGAAAATACGTGTAATGACACCCTCTGACGTTACCTCGCTCTATGCATTCTTGATAACATCACTTCCGTTATTGTACGGGGGGGAGGGGGGTTACCTACTATCGGTCTAATCTCAATGTTTAAATTTTACTAATTGTTCATGGCCAGGGGGCTTGCTGGCTATTCAAAACATTTACATATTGTTAAACCTTTTGAGTTAATTTAAATTAGCCAATTATTTAGTATAAGGTCATATCCATACAGATAATTTTTATTATAGTTAGTAAAAGCCAAAATTGGCAAAAAGAATGAGATTGTATCGCTATTTGATTAGATTGTATCGTTATTTGACTCCAATAACATGACGTCTTTTGACGTCTAAAACCACAAGGCTGGATAAATAAGAAGCGAAAGTCGAGTCAGTGGACGGTGATTATACAATGGATGTAAAATTGATCAAAGTCGAGAAGGGAGACATACTCACTGTTGACTATCCTCATTACGATAAGTTGCAAAGTGAATTTGATCACCTTAAACAAGCAAAGTTCATCGATGTCGACCAGAAATCTCAATAACCCGTTCATGTTGTGCTGGGAAGTGGTGAGTATGCGCGGATAAAAACTCGAACAAATCCCGTAGTAGGCACCGAAGGTCAACCAATAAATCCTAATTTCTAATTCCTAACTAATTGCTGGGAAGACAAAACTTGGATGGTTTGCCATGAACCCTGGTGTAGAGCTGAACCACAACACTATGTTTCTTACTCAAACATCCCAGAAAGATTATGAAGATCTGTGCCGCCATGATGTGTTAGGACTCGCAGATACAGCGGAGCATGATCAATCTATGGTCTGCAGTGAGTTCAAAGACCAATTGACCAGATCTCCTTCGGGCTGGTATGAGACAGGTCTTCCTTGGCGCGGAAACCACCCAACACTACCTTCAAATGAAATCGGAAGCATCCACCGATTGCAATCTTTGGAACGTTGCCTTCAACGAAAGGAAAGGACTTAATCGAAGACTAACACAGTGATCGAGCAGCAGAAACAGCAAGGAATCTTGGAACCAGACAATAACGAAGCCACAGGTAAAGAATTCTATATACCCCATAACGAAGTTGCACGAGAGTCGGTACAGTCAACAAAGCTGCGAGTTGTGTATGATGCCTCTGCGAAAGCCTCTCCTGTAAGCCCATCCTTAAACGAATGTCTTTACGCTGGTCCCCCTCTTCAGAACAAACTTTGGGAGATATTTGCCCGAAGTCTCCCAGTAGGAATAATCACAGGTGACATGGAGAAAGCAATTCTCCAGATCCGTGTAAAATAGTGTGAAAGAGATGCGCTAAGATTTCATTGGCGAGCAAACCCACTAGCTGATGTGGAGGTAAGTAGTAATATAGGTACCGATCGGGCCGGATTTTTGTGGTGGAGTGTGGTGGAGTGTGGTGGAGTGAGGAGGAATAATGACGTCACTCATTAACATACGTCATAATTACATGCAATGACGTCACGCGGGCCTGTTCGGGCGAAATTGAACAAAACGTGCTGACTACGCATTTTTTAGCGTTCTCCCCACGTGTGTGATACAATAATTAGGGCTATATACAAGATAATATGTTGTTGTTTGGAGTTTTATAAGCACAGCTATAGCATTTTGCTGTTATTGTCAAGTGATTTCTTTAATTTAGCTCCTAGAGGAGTAAAAAATCTGATACTATATGAAATAGCATTAGTGTTATATATCTAAAACTTATATATTCGGGGTATACAGCTATATGTTTTGTTTTTAAGTAATATATAAATATTATCAAGCGTCAAAACGCTGAGAAATAGAATGCGGTAAGAGTTATCATATATCTACAAATAAAATAATATTTAAATCC